GTTAGTCAGGGAAAGAGTTAGTCAAAGAAAGAGATAGTGAGGGAAAGAGTTAGTCAAAGAAAGAGTTAGCAAAGAAATAGTTAGTCAGGGAAAGAGTTAGTCAAAGAAAGAGTTAGTCAGGGAAAGAGTTAGTCAAAGAAAGAGTTAAGTCAAAGAAGAGTTAGAAAAAAAAGTTAGTCAGGGAAAGAGTATCAAAGAAGAGTTATGGGGAAAGAGTTAGTCAAAGAAAGAGTTAGCAAAGAAACAGTTAGTCAAGGAAAGAAGTCAAGAAAGTTAGTGAGGGAAAGAGTTAGTCAAAGAAAGAGTTAGCAAAAAAAGTTTAGTCAAAAAAGAGTTAGAAAAAGAAAGAGTTAGTCAAAGAAAGAGTTAGTGAGGGAAAGAGTTAGTCAAAGAAAGAGAAGGATGAGGGAAAGAGGTTAGTCAAAGAGTAGTCAGAAAGAGTTAGTCAAAGAAAGAGTTAGTGTCAGAAAAGTTGTCAAAGAAAGAGTTAGTGAGGGAAAGAGTTATTACAGAAAGAGTTAGGAGAACAGTTAGTCACAGAAAGAGTTAGTCAAAGAAAGAGTTCGTCAAAGAAACAGTTAGTCAGGGAAAGAGTTAGTCAAAGAAAGAGTTAGCGAGGGAAAGAGTTAGTCACAGAAAGAGTTAGCAAAGAAAGAGGTCGTCAGGGAAAGAGTTAGTCAAAGAAAGAGTTAGTCAAAGAAACAGTTAGTCAGGGAAAGAGTTAGTCAAAGAAAGAGTTAGTGAGGGAAAGAGTTAGTCAAAGAAAGAGTTAGTGAGGGAAAGAGTCAGTCAAAGAAAGAGTTAGTGAGGGAAAGAGTTAGTCAAAGAAAGAGTTAGTCAGGATATATGAGGTAGACAAAGAAAGAGTTAGCAAAGAAACAAGTTAGCCAAAGAAAGAGTTAGTGAGGAAAAGAGTTAGTCACAGAAAGAGTTAGCAAAGAAATTGTTCCCTCACTGTAAATGGGATTGCAAGTGGTGCTGGTGGATGAGTTGCCGATGGAGTTTTGAAGGAAGTCTCGCACGAAATGCGTTTTTGAGAGATAGCAGATGCACGAAACCCTATGTTTTTTCATACAAAGTCCGTCCCCGAACCTCGATGATCTACCTCTGCGGTGCGACGGGTGCGAGACGGTCTCGTGTGTGGTCGGATCATGCTCGGATATGTTCGGATCATTGTCGGATCGGTTCCGCAATGTAAATGGGGTTTCAACTGTTTTTCGTGCATGTGTGGTCGACAGAATTCCATTGTGATTTGCAACTGTAGGATCGTTCCCGCATTGTAAATGGGGTTGCAAGTGGTGCTGGTGGATGAGTTGCCGATGGAATTCTATTGTGATTTGCAACTCTAGGATCGTTCCCTCACTGTAAATGGGATTGCAAGTGGTGCTGGTGGAGGAGTGGCCGATGGAGTTTTGAAGGAAGTCTCGCACGAAATGCATTTTTGAGAGATAGCAGATGCACGAAACCCTATGTTTTTCCATACAAAGTCCGTCCCCGAACGTCGATGATCTACCTCTGCGGTGCGACGGGTGCGAGACGGTCTCGTGTGTGGTCGGATCATGCTCGGATATTCTCGGATCGGTCTCGGATCGGTTCCGCATTGTAAATGGGGTTTCAACTGTTTTTTGTGCATGTGTGGTCGACAGAATTCCATTGTGATTTGCAACTGTAGGATCGTTCCCGCATTGTAAATGGGGTTGCAAGTGGTGCTGGTGGATGAGTTGCTGATGGAATTCTATTGTGATTTGCAACTCTAGGATCGTTCCCTCACTGTAAATGGGATTGCAAGTGGTGCTGGTGGAAGAGTGGCCGATGGAGTTTTGAAGGAAGTCTCGCACGAAATGCGTTTTTGAGAGATAGCAGATGCACGAAAGCCTATGTTTTTCCATACAAAGTTCGTCCCCGAACCTGGATGATCTACCTCTGCGGTGCGACGGGTGCGAGACGGTCTCGTGTGTGGTCGGATCATGGTCGGATCATGGTCGGATCATGGTCGGATCGGTCTCGGATCGGTTCCGCATTGTAAATGGGGTTTCAACTGTTTTTCGTGCATGTGTGGTCGACAGAATTCCATTGTGATTTTCAACTGTAGGATCGTTCCCGCATTGTAAATGGGGTTGCAAGTGGTGCTGGTGGATGAGTTGCCGATGGAATTCTATTGTGATTTGCAACTCTAGGATCGTTCCCTCACTGTAAATGGGATTGCAGCTGGATCTCGTAAATCGTACTGGAGTGGCTGCACGAAGGCTGCCACAGTGATTTGTCAGCAGATTTTCTCCATTTTGGCGCTAATGATTTTCCTTCTAAAAATCCTTTTAAAAAAAGCTTCAAAATCGTCTTTTTTTCGCTCTGGCGTCGAGATCCGGTTTTGGAGCGACAATTTCCGACGCCGTTGCGCGTAGTTCTATTGTGTTTTGCAACTCTGACTCTGCAGGTCGCATTGTAGTGGCTGTGTCAAGGTTGCTTCGTGCTGTGGCTACATTAGTAATACTAGTGTATTTTGCAGCTGGATCTCGTAAATCGTATTGGAGTGGCTGCAAGAAGGCTGCGACATGGATTTGTCAGCAGATTTTCTCCATTTTGTCGCTAATGATTTTCCTTCTAAAAATCCTTTTAAAAAGTGCTTCAAAATCGTCTTTTTTTCGCTCTGGCGTCGAGATCCGGTTTTGGAGCTGCAATTTCCGACGCCGTTGCGCGTACTTCTATTGTGTTTTGCAACTCAGTCTCTGCAGGTCGCATTGTAATGGCTGCGTCAAGGTTGCTTCTTGCCACGGCTGCATGCGTAATACTATTGTCTTTTGCAGCTGGACTTCGTAAATCGTATTGGAGTGGCTGCATGAAGGCTGCGACATTGATTTGTCAGCAGATTTTTTCCATTTTGGCGCCAGTGAGTTTCTTTTTAAAAATTCTTTTAAAAAGTGCTTCAAAATCGTCTTTTTTTTCGCTCTGGCGTCGAGATCCGGTTTTGGAGCTACAATTTCCGACGCCGTTGTGCGTAGTTCTATTGTGTTTTGCAACTCAGTCTCTGCAGATGGCTGCGTCAAGGTTGCTTGGTGCCGCGGCTGCATGCGCAATATTATTGTCTTTTGCAACTGGACTTCGTAAATCGTATTGGAGTAGGTGCATCAAGGGTTCGACAGTGATTAGTAGTAGTGCTGGGAATTGATTAATGAAAGCTTAATAGATGACATATGAGAAGGGACGAAATGAGAAGAGATGAGCTGGGATAAGGTGAGAAGAGCTCAGATGAGATGAACTGTGGAGTGTGAAGAGTGTAGTGTGAAATGTGTGGCGTGAAGAGTGCAGTGTGAAGTGTGAAGTGTGAAGTGTGAAGTTTGGAGTGTGAAGGAAGCAGTGAGAAGTGAGAAGTGTGAAGTGTGGACTGTGAAGTGTGGAGTGTGAAGTTTGAAGTGCAAAGAGTGCAGTGTGAAGTGTGGAGTGTGAAGAGTGCAGTGTGAAGTGTGCAGTGTGAAGGAAGCAGTGGGAAGTGAGAAGTGTGAAGTGTGGAGTGTGAAGTTTAAGTTTGGAGTGCGAAGAGTGAGTGTGAAGTGTGAAGTGTGAGGTTTGGAGTTTGAAGGCAGCAGTGAGAAGTGAGAAGTGTGAAGTGTGGACTGTGAAGTGTGGAGTGTGAAGTGCGAAGTGAGAAGTGTGAAGTTTGGAGTGTGAAGGAAGCAGTGAGAAGTGTGAAGTGCGAAGTGAGAAGTGTGAAGTGTGAAGTTTGGAGTGTGAAGTTTGGAGTGGGAAGGAAGCAGTGAGAAGTGAGAAGTGTGAAGTGTGGACTGTGAAGTGTGGAGTGTGAAGTGCGAAGTGCGAAGTGTGAAGTTTGGAGTGTGAAGGAAGCAGTGAGAAGTGAGAAGTGTGAAGTGAGAAGTGTGAAGTGTGGACTGTGAAGTGTGGAGTGCGAAGAGCGCAGCGTGAAGTGTGAAGTGTGAGGTTTGGAGTGTGAAGGAAGCAGTGAGAAGTGTGAAGTGTGAAGTGTGAGTGAAGTGTGGAGTGCGAAGTGCGAAGTGAGAAGTGTGAAGTGTGAGTTTTGGAGTGTGAAGTTTGGAGTGGGAAGGAAGCAGTGAGAAGTGTGAAGTGTGGAGTGTGAAGTGCAAAGTGAGAAGTGTGAAGTGTGAGGTTTGGAGTGTGAAGTGTGGAGTGTGAAGTGTGGAGTGTGAAGTGCGAAGTGAGAAGTGTGAAGTTAGGAGTGTGAAGGAAGCAGTGAGAAGTGTGAAGTGTGAAGTGTGAAGTTTGGAGTGTGAAGGAAGCAGTGAGAAGTGAGAAGTGTGAAATGTGGAGTGTGAAGTGTGAAATGCGAAGTGAGAAGTGTGGACTGTGAAGTGTGAAGTGTGAAGTGTGGACTGTGAAGTGTGAAGTGTGAAGTCTGGACTGTGAAGTGTGAAGTGTGCAGTGTGAAGTGTGGAGTGTGAAGTTTGAAGTTTGGAGTGCGAAGAGTGCAGTGTGAGGTGTGGAGTGTCGAGGGAAGGACACGGTCGGGACAGGGTGTCTTTGAACTATAGGTCATTTATGTTTGGGAAACTTCCGCCGCCGGCTTGCCCGGGTCTATGTTATCATATATATTTTTACATGTGTATAAATCTAAATATATACATTTACATATATATATATATGTATGTATGTAACACGTATTCTTGCAGTTTGATGTGTTGAAACATACACATACATGATTTTAATCATCGATTTTCAGTGAGAGACTAATGATTAAATCATTGATTTTTAAAGGCACCCTCCGTTTTTAGATGAATCCTTGGGCATGAGTCAAAGTTAATGTCCCTCCAGAATCAGAATCCACATTGATGGTTTAGATAAACAATTTGGTGGATTGATTCATGGGCCCCCCCATTTTGACCCATACCCATATAGGTATTGTTCAATTGTTCAAAACCCACAGGTCGGCCGGAACCTTTCTGGTGATTGGCACAGGGAAGGGGAAATGAGTGATTGAAATTCTTTTCCCGATTTCCCTTGCCAGTATTTGGGGTGTTGGGAACAAACATGACCCCAGTACTCTGGTAAACATCCCAACCTCAACAACTAGACTGTATTCGGATGTTCGTGTTCAAAAGAAAACTTACATTTGATCTAATTGGCCTAAGACGGCCATATGCAAAATCATTTGTCCAATACTTCAATTCTGCTTTGAAAGTTTCGAAAGATGTCATTGGGCATGGAGATCACCATGAGGTATCCATATGATAGGAATGTGGTTCAACAATTAGTCCAAAGCGAATTTGGAAGAACTATTTTCACCAATGGGGATCCAAAGGATCCAAGATGTCAGCAGGAAATCTGTTGGCCTCGTGAACAGTTGTGACACAACCCCACGGCCACAGGCTCGAGACGTCAATGGTGTCACTTGGTGACAACGGGATTAGACTTTCGCCCTATCGGTAGATGTTGTTTCACTTCAGATGTTGAGTCTGCCACATTCTATTTGCAGATGATATTTCATGCGATGTATGCGCAGGAAGTTTCCCAGAATCTTACGACGGAGGGATTTGAAGCATCCTAAATCAGGTCAAGGGACGAAAATCCCTGCCCGGATGGACAAGAAAACCACTACAAGTTGGATCCGAGCTACAAAATCGTTGGTAAGGTGGGACATGGTGGGACAGAGCTTCTCCAAATGTTTTTTTTCCACTTTTTTGGGTGCAAATTGAAGGGATGGGTTTTCTTCTGCTCTGTGTTCGCGATTGCATGGAGGGTTTCAATTCGGGATTTCTTGCAGTTGGACTAACTTTTGTACTTTGTTTGCTCCAAGATTGCTGTTTCATGGTATGGCACTACTTTTCTCTAGGTGGAATGCATTGGGCATGGCTCAGTTCTTTTTTCACCATTTGGACCAACGGAAAAAGGTTGAAAAACTCCAAAAACTTTGCTCGGAAAAGGCACAAGTCCTTTCTGAATGCAGAACTTTCTTCGCGCTGAGGATTCAAAATCAAAATGTCTGCCAGAACAAACTCGACTCTGTCTGGGAAGTGGACAAACTTCGGGAGGCGCTGCGAAAGGATTGGACAAACTTGGTGGTGCCTTGATTTTTTTGGTGTTTTTTTTGGTAGATGATATACCATGATATACCCCAGTACCCCAGCAGTTTGTTGAGGATCACGGAACAGAACTTGGCCCCCCAGTAATACGTTACGTCGTGCATTGGAATCGTGATTCCGAGGAAGGTAGAAACCAGCAACCCTTCAGGAGCCGCATGGCCAGATTCAGGTAGGATCTCATCAACGAAGTAGAAATTGGAAATATGAAGCATTCAATGTAAAAGCCTCGCATGAAAAAAGGTATAGACACATAGATTTGATATATATATATATATATATAGATGGTTTATACATAACCAGCCATAATGTTGATGACTGATGTATGTGATGATGACACAACCTTTTCTTCTTTAGAGCTGATTTTCATAAACATGAGTTTTTTCACTGCTCCAGAGACAACTTCGTGTTATACAACCGATGTTAGCAGTGCCCATTCTTGGTGCCTTGATGGCAGCAGTGCAGTTTCATCAACTGGATGATAGTTTCAGAGTTTGTAGGAGGAGGCAACTCAGTTTAGCAACCAATACCAACAAATTTTTGGATTCTGGCGAAAACAAACAAATTTGGCCAACGATTCGTTTTTTGTTATTTCCTATACGTTCCCATGAGTTCCAAATGATGATGTGTTGATGTCTTGCCAGTTTCGAGGTGAGGTTCGACCCTGGAAATTGAGGTCCCAACCGAGAAAAAAAAGGTCAGTGTCCCATTGGACAGCTGCTAAGCCTTCCATTTTCGCAGGCTTTGTCCAAGGAGGAGAGATGGAAAATCGGGGAGCCCTGGCTGCTGAAGGTGGGACGCCGGGACGCCGTCCGTCCTGTGCCCAGAGAACCGGCCCTCCCTTTGTAGCTCTGGCCAGGCGACCTTCACCAACAACGGCAACGTTCCTCGGAAGTTTGGCTTTCAAGCTGGTCAGGACAAAGGTGCCGCAAACGTTGATGGCAGCCAATGGCAAACCAATGGCACAAGTCGTGAACGCATCCCCATTCTCATAGCGATGATCAAGAGGGAACATGATAAGGCATACCAGGGTAAGGAAAACAATGACTACGATGATCATGATGCTAGTAACGACAATCATGAAAATCACGATTGGGACAGGTTATGATCAGAGGAGAATCACCACAATCACCAGCCCGAAACTCCCAACCCCCTTTTGACAGGCTTCTTGAACATCATCGTCCCTGCTGGTTGTGTCGAGTGCACCCTTTCCGCTTCGGTCTGAACGCCCCAGCTGGTCACGCGAAAGGTTTTTCTTGCGTTGAAATCGGAATCAAAAAAGCTGGAACTTCATCCCTACAAAAAAACAACAACCGGTCTTGGTGACATATTGTGACTTTGTGTTTTTTTTTGCAGAATTGTATTACTTGGACGACACAGAACAGGAGCAGCTCCAGGCAGAGCGAAAGTGTGGTGCCTGCAATGCCATGAGTCATTTTCTGGTGGCTTCAAACCAGGATTTTCCTTGGTGAACCAGGCAACTCATCTATATTTTCGTAGCTTTTTCCTTGGTCACCTGAGGAACCAGTCCTGACCTCTGCGGCTCATGCAGAGTTTCAGTATGGTGGGATTCTCAACGGTGGAGAAATGCCCAACACTTTGGAATATCACTTTTTTTGCTGTGAATAGGAGGAAGCAGTGAAGGCTAGGGTATCTATATGTATCTATATATGTTCCCTAGTAAATTGGTAGCCAAGGAGCTACAAATCGAGTTTCCGAACCACATGAGAGTTTGGCCATTTCCGACGAACACCTGTTTGGACGCCCTAATCTCCCTCTTGGGCCCGAGGTGATGACAAGCCTTTCACCAGTGGAGAGGTGACCATGTCTAACATCTGCTTGACTCCTCAGGCAGCGTCGTGGATTCGTTTTTATGTTTTTCAAGCGATCTAAGAGGAGATATTTCGACCAGGCGTTCGTGAAGCTGTGTGTGAATGGTGCTGCAGGTGTGCAAGGGCTTCAAGTGCAGCTGGGCTCAGTCTTTGGGTCCATGATCGGTCAACCATCATTCTCAGCGAAGTGCGAGTTTTAAGATGTGACATATCCATACATATCCCCTATGTCACTGAAGGTTTTTTTTTTAACCCTGAGTACCTCATCCTCAAGGCGATCGAACCCATTGCCATCCTTTGCCTTTTTCCCGAGGTCCCCATCCTCAAACGCAGAAACTGAAAGCCAACGAGACCTTTGGCTATTCTGAAGCAGCTTGCTGTGAGCCCAGGAGAAAAAACAAGGGGGAAATGGGTGATGGAATCCTAAAAGAAAAAACCCGAAAAAAAAACAAAATCCCCCAGAAACCATGGATTGTTGTGGGGCATGAAACACTATGAAACTAGATATTTGGGACCATAGAATCCGGGTGTAATAAATATGAAACGGGAGTATATCAATCACCACAGGACCTGTTCGATCCCTCCCAAAGCCTTCTGCCTCCAACTGGCAGGATGTGCAAAGATGAGATTAGCTGTCCATCGCTTAGCGGATACCCAGTCCTCCCTCTTGAGCCACTGGTGGTCACTTGCCCAAACAAAAATTTCACGGGGAGATTTTACTTACCCACAAAAATAAACTTAACAACGGAAGCTCATGGCTCTTGGTCGCCATTTTTGATGCGCACATCTTCTGTTTTGCTGGTGATAATCAACTGTAGCCAGTCGCGAGGCTTTCAAAAAGCTTGTGTAACAAGGGGGAGCACGCTAGAGAGTCCAAATTGCAGAAGTCAAAGTGATCTAGGTTTGCCCAGAAATGCGAGAGTCTATCACAGTAATTCAGAGTATATCCCGATGCAAAATGATCCACGAGGTCTCCCAACCACTCAGTGGGTCTGGCGCTCGGACTGAACCGGTGTCATGGTTTTCTGAAGGGCTACTGAAGTCTTATTGATGGCTATGCCGCAATGCCAGTAATGATTACGGTGTAGTGTTGATGTTTCTAGGCAGACATTTTCACCTTAAATTCGTAGCCTAGTGTTCATCATTAGCCTCTTACAATTGGCTGTTACTCCTGGCTTTCCATCATCCCAACTACTGAGGAGCCTCGAAAAGACTTTGAGACTCGTCTTGGCTCTACCCCACAGGGCTGCTGCGTGGCCAAATATTGCCCTGCCGTGTGGACTCCCAGCATGGCCATTTTCATGGCCTTTTTGAAATGTTGGGAAGACCATGGAAGACCTGAGTTTTTTTTCACCGAACAGGATCATTTGGGGTGCCACTAAAAAAAGTCCAAATTTATTTGGGATCCGATCCTGGAGAGTTTTTCATTGGTTTTTCATGTTTTTCCGACATCACGAGATTGAGGTTCTTGAGCTTGCTTGGATGATGTGCAGCGACAGCTGTTTGATCCACTTGGGAGCCAAAGTCACATGCCGAGATCCAGGCCCCCATCCAGGATCAATATTTCCTGTCTCTGCCGAGGATTTCTGTGAGAACATCACTGGTTGGGACAAGAACCCGGCGACGGGATTGAAAGGACCGACAGGGATGGATATCCATCGGGAATCCAACATGGCTTTTTTGCAGTCAATATATGCAGGAAAGTGTTTTTCATCTATGGCACCCACCCAGAAAGATAGAGGAACAAAATCTTCGAAGGCAGGTAATGATTAAAGTACAAATCTCTCTCTCTCTCTCCTTTTGTCTTCCTATACACAATAGACATAACTTGAGGATTATTAATACATTGTCAGGCTTGATTGCATGACCAGGACACTGAACTTGAAACAAAACAGGGGGGACTAACTCTAAGGATCTAATACGGCTAGATATACTAAGACTATCTAAGACTCAAGAAAGATCGAAAAGGTTAAGTTTATCACGAATCCAAGAGGAGTTTACCGAGTTTACCAACTGAAAATCTTTTTGGGGGTTGCTATACATTGTGTATATCGTGTATACATTCATTGCAGCCGTCGGTGCCAGGAAGCACCAAGGAGGAGTGCTGCATCCAGAAGGAATGCCTGGGGCCTCGGCGGATGATCGGTTGACTTCTATATGACCCCCACATGTGCGTAATGTGATGATTATATACACATACATACAGTATATTATATATATGTCATGTATATATTTTTTTCCCCAACAGCAGAATGCTTTGGGGTCTCAGCCCACATAGCCTTCGGGGTGCTCCGGGGCACTGCTCGACCCTGCCGCCTCGTTTCGCCGGTTCCGGGAACCAGGGTTCCGAGAACCGGTTCCGGGAACCAGGGTTCGGGGCAAGGTTCCGGGAACCCAGGGTTCCGGGAACCAGGGTTCGGGGCAAGGTTCCAGGAACCCAAGGTTCCGCAAACCAGACTTTCAAGCAAGGTTCTGGGAACAATGGGTTCTGGCTACCTTTTGGGTTCCGGGACGTCAAGGTTCCGGGAAGGTTCCGGGCACACTTGGCTTTCGACAAGGTTCCGGGAACCTTACCATGGTTTCGAGCAGCCAGAGCCTGGATTGTGCCAAAGTTCTGGAATCACCGGAACACCAATTTTGAGACATCCTGCAAACCCAGAGTTTGGGGAACCAGGATTCTGGCAAGGTTCCAGCAACACTGGGTTCCGACAAGGTTCCGAGAACCACCACAGATGCGGACCCACAGTTTGGATATACTTCCTGGATTATGCCACAGGTTCCGGACAGGGACAAGGTCAGAGTTCTGGCAAGGTTCCGAGGTTCCCGGAAACAACCCAGGGGTCGGATATACGCCGTGGGTTGTACCAAGGTTCATGCTACGGACAGGGTCCCAGAAAACCAATTTGCAAGGAAACCAAGGTTCCAGGACCAAAAGGGCCCGGTCAACGAGCAATCGCTGACAGGGGGGGGGACAGCGTGACAATAAATCAGCGCGTCTCGGTTCCGGAAACCCAGGGTTCCAATATACGCTGTGGGTTGCGCCAAGGTTCCGGAAACGAGGGTTCCAGGAAGACAAGGTTCCAGGGACACAAGGTTCCAGGAACACAAGGGATTCCGGAAATCCCCCAGCCAATCTTGGGTGCTTTGTGGCCCCTCACTGAATTCCGAATTCATGTTCGTTTGCTCAGTGGGCGCACAGCGTCGGTCGACTGACCTGTTCTGATGTTGCTGTAAAATCTTCTGTTTGAACTGTTCCGATGTCGCATCTACCAAAGCACATGCCACATCAAGCAATTAAGTTCGATGCCTTGGAACACCTAAATATTGGCAGCAAACCTGTGTGAGGCTTCTCGAAGCCAGGTAGATGATTTTTTGAAGCTAAGTGACCAAACAGCAACACACAATGAAACTTCAGACACAGTTGTGACACAACAACCAAGTATTGACATGAAACTAATTCTGGAATCATGATGGACAATTTGGCCAAAACCAACTGTTTCACCAATCACTTGCGCAAACTGACCGATGTTGTCCAAGCACGACAAGATAATCCCAAACCAACACACACACACATTTTGTAAACACTTAATGACACACCGTGGTCTGCAAATACTGCCATTCGTTTGTAACCAAATGTATGTAAATTCAACTATGCGCGCTTTCTTAAAGAACATGTCTCATCCTGCCTTTGGTCCAAAAGGGGAGGGGGCAAGGCGGGCAAAAAATCGCCGAAGAGACTTAGGCTATGGAATCCTGTTCCTGCCATCATTAATCCGTCTTGGGTTGCAAAGTTGGACCACTGTTTGAAACCAACCGCTGCCGGTTCCGGGAACCAGGGTTCCGGGCAAGGTTCCGGAACTCAGGGTTCCGGGAACCAGGGTTCGGGGCAAGGTTCCAGGTTCCGCAAACCAGACTTTCAAGCAAGGTTCTGGGAACAATGGGTTCTGGCTACCTTTTGGGTTCCGGGACGTCAAGGTTCCGGGATCCCCAGGTTCTCGGCGCCAGGAAGGTTCCGGGCACACTTGGCTTTCGACAAGGTTCCGGGAACCTTACCATGGTTTCGAGCGGTTCTGGAATCACCGGAACACCAATTTTGAAACATCCTGGAAACCCAGAGTTTGGGGAACGAGGGTTCCGGCAAGGTTCCAGCAACACTGGGTTCCGACAAGGTTCCGAGAACCACCGCGGATGCGGACCCACAGTTTGGATATACTTCCTGGATTATGCCACAGGTTCCGGACAGGGACAAGGTTGCGGAACAACAATTTTCAAGAAGCCCAGCCCAGGTTCCAGAGAACCAGGGTTCTGGCAAGGTTCCGAGGTTCCGGAAACAACCCAGGGGTCGGATATACGCCGTGGGTTGTACCAAGGTTCATGCTACGGACAGGGTCCCAGAAAACCAATTTGCAAGGAAACCAAGGTTCCAGGACCAAAAGGGCCCGGTCAACGAGCAATCGCTGACAGGGGGGGGCACAGCGTGACAATAAATCAGCGCGTCTCGGTTCCGCAAACCCAGGGTTCCAATATACGCTGTGGGTTGTGCCAAGGTTCCGGAAACGAGGGTTCCAGGAAGACAAGGTTCCAGGAACACAAGGGATTCCGGAAATCCCCCAGCCAATCTTGGGTGCTTTGTGGCGGGTTCCGCACATGCCGATTCATGTTCGTTTGCTCAGTGGGCGCACAGCGTCGGTCGACTGACCTGTTCTGATGTTGCTGTAAAATCTTCTGTTTGAACTGTTCCGATGTCGCATCTACCAAAGCACATGCCACATCAAGCAATTAAGTTCGATGCCTTGGAACACCTAAATATTGGCAGCAAACCTGTGTGAGGCTTCTCGAAGCCAGGTAGATGATTTTTTTAAAGCTAAGTGACCAAACAGCAACACACAATGAAACTTCAGACACAGTTGTGACACAACAACCAAGTATTGACATGAAACTAATTCTGGAATCATGATGGACAATTTGGCCAAAACCAACTGTTTCACCAATCACTTGCGCAAACTGACCGACGTTGTCCAAGCACGACAAGATAATCCCAAACCAACACACACACAATTTTGTAAACACTTAATGACACACCGTGGTCTGCAAATACTGCCATTCGTTTGTAACCAAATGTATGTAAATTCAATTATGCGCGCTTTCTTAAAGAACATGTCTCATCTTGCCTTTGGTCCAAAAGGGGACGGGGCAGGGCGGGCAAAAAATCGCCGAAGAGACTTAGGCTATGGAATCCTGTTCCTGCCATCATTAATCCGTCTTGGGTTGCAAAGTTGGACCACTGTTTGAAACCAACCGCTGTTGGGGATCTACGTCGGCTTATTTTAAAACTATTCTTTATTGTTCGACGATAAAATTTTAAGGTTTCAACTCTTATTTTTCAACAAAAATAAGAGTATACGATAATTATCGTAGGCACCGTTTCGAAAGTAGAAGTTTCCACTAAACTTCTCCTAAACTTCTTTGTGGAAGTTTTGTGGAAGTGACACTTAAAAAGTGGAAGTTTCCACTCTTCTACCCTTAAAAAAGTGGAAGTTTGGTAGCAGTTTAAGTGGAAGTTTCATTCGGTTATAGATAAAACATAATCTCAAAAAATAGTCGAAAAATAGTCCAAAAAAAATAGTGGTACGAGAAAAACACAGTCTTAAAAACACAGTCTTAAAAAATAATCGGACGATAAAAGAAGTCGTTTTTTCCCCAACAGCAGAATGCTTTGGGGTCTCAGCCCACATAGCCTTCGGGGTGCTCCGGGGCACTGCTCGACCCTGCCGCCTCGTTTCGCCGGTTCCGGGAACCAGGGTTCCGAGAACCGGTTCCGGGAACCAGGGTTCCGAGAACCGGTTCCGGGAACCAGGGTTCGGGGCAAGGTTCCGGGAACCCAGGGTTCCGGGAACCAGGGTTCGGGGCAAGGTTCCAGGAACCCAAGGTTCCGCAAACCAGACTTTCAAGCAAGGTTCTGGGAACAATGGGTTCTGGCTACCTTTTGGGTTCCGGGACGTCAAGGTTCCGGGAAGGTTCCGGGCACACTTGGCTTTCGACAAGGTTCCGGGAACCTTACCATGGTTTCGAGCAGCCAGAGCCTGGATTGTGCCAAAGTTCTGGAATCACCGGAACACCAATTTTGAGACATCCTGCAAACCCAGAGTTTGGGGAACCAGGATTCTGGCAAGGTTCCAGCAACACTGGGTTCCGACAAGGTTCCGAGAACCACCACAGATGCGGACCCACAGTTTGGATATACTTCCTGGATTATGCCACAGGTTCCGGACAGGGACAAGGTCAGAGTTCTGGCAAGGTTCCGAGGTTCCGGAAACAACCCAGGGGTCGGATATACGCCGTGGGTTGTACCAAGGTTCATGCTACGGACAGGGTCCCAGAAAACCAATTTGCAAGGAAACCAAGGTTCCAGGACCAAAAGGGCCCGGTCAACGAGCAATCGCTGACAGGGGGGGGGACAGCGTGACAATAAATCAGCGCGTCTCGGTTCCGGAAACCCAGGGTTCCAATATACGCTGTGGGTTGCGCCAAGGTTCCGGAAACGAGGGTTCCAGGAAGACAAGGTTCCAGGAACACAAGGGATTCCGGAAATCCCCCAGCCAATCTTGGGTGCTTTGTGGCCCCTCACTGAATTCCGAATTCATGTTCGTTTGCTCAGTGGGCGCACAGCGTCGGTCGACTGACCTGTTCTGATGTTGCTGTAAAATCTTCTGTTTGAACTGTTCCGATGTCGCATCTACCAAAGCACATGCCACATCAAGCAATTAAGTTCGATGCCTTGGAACACCTAAATATTGGCAGCAAACCTGTGTGAGGCTTCTCGAAGCCAGGTATATGATTTTTTGAAGCTAAGTGACCAAACAGCAACACACAATGAAACTTCAGACACAGTTGTGACACAACAACCAAGTATTGACATGAAACTAATTCTGGAATCATGATGGACAATTTGGCCAAAACCAACTGTTTCACCAATCACTTGCGCAAACTGACCGATGTTGTCCAAGCACAACAAGATAATCCCAAACCAACACACACACACATTTTGTAAACACTTAATGACACACCGTGGTCTGCAAATACTGCCATTCGTTTGTAACCAAATGTATGTAAATTCAACT